GGTCACGGCCGACAAATGGTCATCCAGTGCCAGCCGCGAATCCAGGAGGACTCCCAAGTTGCGCGCCCTCTCCGAGGGGGCCAAAGTTTCGCCCCCTATAGTCAGCGATGGTGTCAGCTGACTATGCCGAGGCGCTGGCAACCACAGCCACTCGGTCTTGGAAGGGTTGAGCCTGAGTCTGTTCCTCCCCATCCAGACAACCATGTTACTAACTTAATAACTGCAGTGACTTGTCTGATGATCCATCAGCTTCTTTTCTTTCTCAGGAATCTTCTCCAATACAGTAATTTTTACCCATCTTAACCTTTCTCCAGCCAAGCCCAATCGGGGTGCTTCCCCCAAGAGGATCTTGGTTGTGGTTATCACGCATCAGCAGGACCCTAAGCAGCTAAAAAGAAAGAGAGCCTTCAAATGTTTAAATAGAATCTTTGGAGAGACAGACTAGTGTTAGAAATTAGTCTTTAGGATATATCTTAGATGGGTCCCATCGTGTCACCACGATGTAAAAAAGATGCTGAGACTCTAGAAAGAGTACAGAGAAGAGCAACAAAGATGATCAGGGGACTGGAGGCTAAAACATATAAGGAAAGGCTGCTGGAATTGGGTATGTCTAGTTTAACGAAGAGAAGGACTAGAAGGGGACATGATAGCAGTGTTCCAATATCTCAGGGGCTGCCACAAAGAAGAGGGAGTCAAGCTATTCTCCAAAGCGCCTGAAGGCAGAACAAGAAGCAATGGATGGAAACTAATCAAGGAGAGAAGCAACCTAGAACTAAGGAGAAACTTCCTGACAGTTAGAACAATTAACCAGTGGAACAACCTGCCTCCAGAAGCGGTGAATGCTCCAACACTGGAAGTTTTAAAGAAGAGACTGGACAGCCATTTGTCTGAAATGATATAGGGTTTCCTACCTGAGCAGGGGGGTTGGACTAGATGACCTCCAAGGTTCCTTCCAACTTTTTTTTTTATTTATTTATTTATTTATTTATTTATTTATTTATTTATTTATTAATTATTATTATTATTATTATTATTATTATTATTATTATTATTATTATTATTATTATTATTATTATTTCTTTAGAATGTTATACTTGAATCTGGAGCAATCATCTATTTCTCAACAAGTTTTTATATTATTGTCTGGAGGTTCAAAAGTAAAACTGAATTTTACCTAAACTAGTATTTTCAGTATCTCAATTCCTAATATACATAGTCCTCAACTTACAAGTAATACTGGGACCAGAATTTCTGTTGCTAAGCAAGGATGGTTGTTAAATGAGTTGCACCCATTTTTTTTACCTTTTTTTGCCACAGCTGTTAAGCAAGTCACATCAGTTGTTAAGTGAATAATGCTGTCTTTAAATGAAACTATATTTCCCCATTTACTTTGCTTGTCAGAAGCCAGCTGGGAAGGTTACAAAATGGCAATCACATGATCCATGGATGCTGTGATCATTGTAAATACATGTTGATTGCCACGCACCCAAATTTTGATCACCATGATTGTGGGGATGCTGGGACACTCATAAGAGCAAGGACCAATCATAAGTCACTTTTTTCAGTGCTGTTGTAACAGTCACTAAATGATTGGTTATAAATCAAGGAGTACCTATATCAGGGGTCTTCAAACTTGGCCCTTTTATAACTTGTGGACCAACTCCCAGAATTCCTCAGCCAGGCACGCTGGCTGAGGAATTCTGGGACTTGAAGTCCACAAGTCATAAAAAGGCCAAGTTTGAAGACCCTCTGACCTATATACTAAGCTGAAATGTCTTCCTCAAGCATTTAAAATTTAAATTAATTCTAAATTAATTCTAACCCAAGATTTCTTTCTGGTGCTACCACCAGATGGAGCTGAGTTTTATTAATAAGGAAACATTAAATGTTGATAGTCCTGCACTTAAAGTGAAAGAAAACAAAAGATTTTAATTTTAGATGTGTTTGGACTGATTTTACAGCTATTGAAATGCTGAGGACTTAACAATTAATGGTACCACTTCAATGCCTGGAAAACATGGGCAATGCACTCCCAAAAGAAAGCCACTGTAAAAACTTTTACTTAGTTGAATCTCTTATGTATAGCAAGAAGAGGCAAAGGCATCCATTTTCAGTAGTATAATTTGCTTTTTAATCCCTCAAACCCTTCCCCATCATGTCAATTAATTAAATAGGGCATTGCTGGCTACCTATATATACATGGCATATATGAATTTATTTTAAAAATACGCCAAGGTGTTTTCCAGTACTTTCAGAATAGACTGAAACCACAAAAGATATGCTTTTAAATACAGCAATAGAATGAATTCAAATATAAAATCCAACTAACCAAGAAAAAAAATCCAATCAACCAAAGAGAAATCCATGCCCAGAGGAAAAACAAAGACAAGCGTTTTTTCAGTTGTAAGTGGAAGCCAATTTGATGTGTAGTGGTTCAGGTGATGGCCTTCAAACCAGGAGATGGTGAGTTCTAGTCCTGCCTTAGGCATGAAAGCCAGCTGGCAGACTTTGGGCCAGTCACTCTCAGTCTAACATAAACTTATAAAGTAATAAAGGTGGGATAAAAATCTAACAAATAAATTAAGTGTGTTTCATCATACTATTCATTTTATCAAACATTATTATAAACATAACATATTTATTATTTTGCACCAAGAAATTGAGGTATATACTTATTGTAGCTTGCTGCTCTGCTGTGTAATCCTTACAGCGGACCTCAAAAATCTGTTAGGTTGAGAAATAATAATTGGCAAGCTTTCTTTTTCCA